AAACCAAGGAATACTGGATAGCTGTTTCGTCTTAGTCTGGAACTCTTCATCAGCATGTATCCACCAGGAATAGACCCCAGGGCCCTCCGGTAACAAGGTGTGCTCAGAGGTCAGCTAGTCATTGGGACCGGATACAATGGCTCATGAATTCTAACTTCTGACAGCTCAAAATATATATAACACAACCGCTAGCCAATGTCGAAGGCGAGTAACTATTCTCCTGTCTAATCTTGTGGACCCAGCTAATTACGACTTCTCATCAGGACGCTAGGTTAATCTCCTGCATAGAGCCAAATATCGCGAATTTGCAATTTATGGGTCAATGGACCGATTCGTGGTGACTGAATGGTCCGCGAGCTCACCATGTAGCCAGCCAAAAGGCGCGTACCGATGGAGAGCTCAAACTAGGATGAAGCAGTCGTGCAGTACTCCCTGGTTCTTTAATTGACGTCAGCTCTTATCTACTTCTCAATAATCTTCGATACATGAATACTTCCAAAACACGCACACGATCAAGGGTTCGATTCCCAGCTGACTCACTCCTAAACCTCGATACCGAGTAAATAGAAAAGGTCGCGCGTGAGGCTAGTCACCTCATGCCATAAGAAAAATAAAACACCATGGCTGCTGAAACTAAAGCTCAAGCTTGACGCCCTATGTTCCACTTGGAATGCGAAGGAATAAAAATAGTATTTTTATTGTTATTTTCTTCAATGTACACACATCCACACATAAGATGAGATTTGACATAATTATTTAATCGCATATCATGCTTCAAGTCTACACATCAAAAAAATGATGGAAATAGAAGAAATCAGTCTAGAAAAAAGGGGAAAATCAGATTACTTATTCCAGGTGAAAATAAATACTTGAATCTTCACAATTAATGAAATTCTAGCTTCAGTGAATCGAATTCATCAGATATCCCATTTACCTCAAGAAAAACTCATTAATCTCAGTAAAGTTTGTGAATTTGTTGTTCACCAGGCCATGTTGCGCTATGATAGTGAGTATGTACAAGCGGCTGTTCGTCTCAAATTGCTCTGGTGGGTTAATATTCTCTGACAAGAAATTCTTATCCAGTCCCTAGATCTGCATGATGTAATTCTACAAGACTAAAACTACAAGCGTGAATTTTTAAAGTGTGTCATTGTCGAATACTCAGTGGTTCACCAAGGCATATAAGCAGAACCTTAACTCCAAACCGACAATGCGCATTCAGTCTCATAAGATAAGACTAGACTGTCAACGCAAGCAATCAATTGACGAAGTTCTTTTGATGATGCAGCAAAATAACCATGTGCTCGAAACTCCAACGGCTGTCACCCATTCGGTTAAATATTATCTGATACTCTTCGGGCTACTTGAAGCTTATAAGTAGTTGAAAATACTTAAAACAAATTAGTGCCACAAAGAAACAGTGGGAACATAAAAAGAAAACACCTAATGACGATACATTGGCCAAAAATAATACAAGTATCATTACCTAAATGCGAGAATCCAACATCAATTTAAATCATATAGTTACATTTACAAGTGCTGGTTTTCTGGGATTTAAACGATTTCAAGTTTGACCACGAGCTGACTTCAATCAGAGAAGACCATTGAAAACAACGGAGTACTTAACAGCTGCTTCGTCCTTGTTTGAGAATCCTCAGCAATAAGGTCTCACCATAGATCGAAACCAGAACCCAGAAGTTAAAACTGTTCGCTTATTGGATTATGTCCCACTGACTGAATGGTCGACGAGATCGCTGTACATTCTGTAGGTATTTTCGTCCGATCCCTGGTGAATGGGGTCAAAGGCAAATACTTCTGAAGAGCCCACAACAAGGGCGAAACAGCTGTCCAATACTTCCTGGTTTCCAGTGATTCTCTAACTGACGTCAGCTCGTGATCAAACTTTAAATCAAATAATTACTCTGATTTACATGAAATTTATGCTACAGTAATGCAAACTTATCTAAAGACGCTATTCATATTTTTACCCATGTTATCTCACTATCTTCTTACTTTAATCAACAGATAAAACTACCTACATATAAAATTTAAACACTTCATAACCACCTAATTATGTAACCTTGGGGTAAAGATGCCCCACTAAAATAGTCCCTATAAAACTACGAAGTGAAAATCAACAGGCATTTATTACAACTGCTTTCATTCAAGATTAGAAGAATGACAAGAAATCCATCTAGTTATCTACTCAACTATAGTGAGTGGAGAAAATTACAAAATAGGATTAGATACTTTTTTAGTTTTCCAAAGACTTCATTCAAAAGCAACAACAAATATCACACTATACCTAAATACACTAATATCATCACCTATATTCTCTCAAAAAATTAATTCTATTTGCAATGGATAATAAATACAACACATACAGTGACAAAACAAAACTGAATGTAAAAGCCTCACTTCATCAGGAACACTGTCCATTTGCCGTTTCACCAACAATATTCTTTATTTACACAACCGAATACGTTCCATATGAATCAGTCCTCCTAACAGTTAGTGAAACTTTAACTACCCTAAACTGCCATCCACTATGAATATCTACATTGACACAAAGCTAATATGATAGAACAATGATCTTTTCATAGGTGGTATTTATACCAGCCTTTGCAATGCTATGGTACGAAACAAAGAGCCATTCTTCAGCATTCATGAATCCTTGATGTCATGTAAATTATGGAGATATATTCAGCACGACTGAGTTGTTTTAGAGTATATAGGTGTTCTGTTTTTGTTCTGAGAGCTTGGCTTAGAAAATTTCAATCTACGGAGAAGTAAAACAAGCACAATGAAATCCTCAGATAAATTCCGGTTCCATTCTCTTCTACTACTTGTAGTAGTTCTAATCAGTTAGATAAGTGCTATATGCTACAAGTGAGCACTAGTTAAAAATTTTACAGTACAAAATGACACGCTTCTGACAAATGAGGGTTATGAATCACCGAGACATCTCCAGAAACATTTATTAAAACATACACAACAGAGAAAAGCAAAAACCCGAGGAAGACTACAGTACGGTCACTCGCCTCACATCTTATCACAGTATTCTAGGAAGAATTAAGAGACGACTCTATGTCCCGCATTACCACAGCCGAGTATATTAATTCAAGTATCGAAAAACAGGAATGTAAGTCTACTTTATCTTTTTGAAAACATTTCTCATAGCTTACATTGAGGAGGAAAAGCCATTTTGGTTTGTATAGTCGTTCTTCATCTGACTGACAGGATATTATCTGCATATAATAAAACCTTCCACAACAGCGAACAAACAAGATCAGTTCTTCTGAAGACAACTGAAGTCATCACCTCAAACCTGTCTTTAGAAGTCGTCCTCAGCCTCTGCTTTTTTTATCTATGCAGACAAACTAATTCTCGGCGTTTGTTTCAAGACGACCACAATATCTTGTAGTAAAAGTGGATATCGATTTGCACTGACTTACAGAGATATTAATGAATTAACTTTACTTGACGAACTGTTTTTGTTTAGTAAATTATATGAACCACTTAATTAAGCATAAGTTTTACGTCCCACAATTTCCAGTTACTACGTTTTTCCAAGCATCTTAAATGATATGATATGATACCGACATCTAGTTACACTTAGATAATTAACTTGAGATTTTTTGAAACGACTTATCACTGAACCGCACATATCTATGTCTGTCTTTACAGATATTTTTAGAAAAATGAATTTAACTAAATTTGCGTTACAACTAAATACGCTGATATCCTGCAGTGTTAAAAGTAACCAAGCGCCAACAGAATAAATTGGATCCGTCTTATCAGCACTTTTGTTACATTTCTTAAAACGCTACTACCTGTAAGACCCTAAGAGGACCTTACACTAAATATCGAACCCAACTCAGTCATAAATATACTGAATTCAGTAGTGAGAATAAGACACACAGGAGGACCAATGAGGAAACTAGCACAAAAATGTAGCAACATGAGTTACACAACTTCATGGAGGCCACAACGAGGAATGGGAGGAAAGAAAAGAGTGGACAAAGCTGCCACACTGAGGAGTTAAGTAATACCATAGTCTCTAAATACCATCGAGAGCATCTGATACTCATAATATGGCACAATATCCTGACAGACGTTTAAATCGAAATATTTACGTCTCTTCTTACTTGAACACCACACACATCTATGAATGGTCAGAAAGATATCTAAGCTAGTATGTTGTGGTCTACATAATTCTTGACTTCAACAACTAGAAACATATGCCAGACTACAAATTGTCTGATGTTTATTTTAAGAAATGAGCTGAATACGGGACCAGAGGTCATAAGATCATAGTTACTAAAAAGGTCCTTCTCCTAATTTCACTTGAAATCTATAGTTATTTAGGGAGTCTATATACACAATGTTAATTGACAAGAGGTTAGTCTGTTCGTAATGAAACACATCAAAGTGTATGAGTAATGACAATGTATGAAAAATGTTGGGTAATCTTAAGTAATCAGGGATTTGACAACTAATTAATTAGGTAATAGATAACCGTTTGGAAGTAATTGATAAGAAACATGAGAACAGTGGATCGGAAGCGGGTTGAAAAACATAAATAATAGGCCCTACATGGAATTCGTTGACGCCGATGCCATGGTAGTACAAGATGCTGGATGAAACGTTTTCGGGAACAAAGTTAGGGTCTTATGGATCGCTAAAGCCACGACTACATGAAGATGTCAGCAAAATCTTAAACAGCTTGACCACACTTTATGTATGAGTGAGAATAGTCTCAGCTGATGCTGAGTGATCAGAAGCACTAACTGGTTCCAGAATCGAGATGTTGAGCGTTCTGCATGCTTTTGACAACCATAATTTCCTAAACATTGTTATTACTCATGTAACCTGACTTATTATAATGACTAAGAATAACGCTGAACTATACTGTTAATTACCATCATATATGTAAACCATATAAATAATTACACAGCTACAAAGTGAAATTACGAAGAGATCACTTTGATCTTAATTATACGACACGCGAATTTTCATGTCTTCGGTCCTTTCAACCTGACACTTATTGGTATATAACAGGACATGGAAGGGAAAGCCAAAATATATGTAACGTGAAGTTCGCTAAACAACCTGCAATGACTCACAGTCATTTAATCTCCAGCATACGTCAATCCCCATAAACACATCCACTTGCTGAAAAAGACCGCTTCCTGGCTAATAGATCGATTGGCTTCTTGTAGGTAAGAGGTTACAGAAGATGAGTAGCTTCATGAATACTGAGAAATCCTATATTTTACAGCAACAGAGTTATTAAAAGGTTTATAGAATCAGTAGTAAAAAAAATACACCATATCAATATACAGAGATAAATAGTGAGCAGTAGCAGCATTGTTTTCATCTTATTATCTAAAACACTTGAAACATTCCATCAATTCTTGATCCATGAGATTTCACTTGTTTTCCGTCTCTTCTTTATGCTGCATCAAATATGTCGCCAGTGCTTCAATGGGATTTGGTGGTCTAGTTTCATAGTTAAATAGTTACAAATTTACCTTTCTTTCGCAATCATGTTTAGACCTTTTAGGAGAACTGGTACAACGGTACGGTCTAGGTAAGCCCTAGTATCGGTAGTCCTGTCACCAGCGCCGTTTTCCTCCTGAGACTCCATAGTTTCAAACGGACCCAATGTCACACAGTGACCTAAGTACAAATAAACGCTTGAAACATTTAAAGACATTGAAAGTATGAATTATTCCCTTTTGTATACCTAATGGGTGAAATAAAAATGATTGTGGGCTTTTGCTGAAAGAATTATGGCAAATCTTGAGTTATTGGCTTCTACTTACGAATCATTACGATCAGGAGATAAGATTACGGGAGGCATGATATTCCTCAGCCAATGGTGCATATAGCACCAGTAAATTTCATGAAACTGTCACTTCTCTCTCATTTTCATTCAATGTATTCATAATCTGTTAGGAAAGCCCTATCATTAACATGCTGACCTCAAAACTGTCAAATTAGAAAAACCTTTACCGGCTGATAACTTCGAAAGACCCTAAATTTAAGGATAAACACTTCCCAATAGGTAATAGTAGTAAGAAGTTTGTAGATTGAAGTTTGGTTAGCCCAACATACAAGGAGGCCGCTGCATTAATGTCGTCTTCTACTCCAGGAACTCACCAGCACACTTGCGGAAGGGCTTATTTTCCAGTAGTGACACTGTAGATGGCCAAAGAAGTTTGTCAAGCCCATTGAACCTCAACCGTTTGACTGAGAATGATCTATTTTACCCGTGAAGACTGAAACACATGGGGTTAATATAATTTTTCAAGGGACGAAAGCTCAACGACAGTATTGTGGTTTCATTGGGGATCTGTACATTCTCTCCCTATCCGCGTGAATAAACACACGTTTTAACAGCCGTAAGATTTATATTCTCCCTTCGCTAGTTGGGGGCGGTGTTGAGAATAGCAGGTACTGTGCCTGACATGATAGATGGCCGATTGAGAATGAGTTTGAATTCGTTGAAGCAGCCTAACTAATGTTTTCCTATAACACCATTTCACTGACTTCACTGGTGGTTGTCTTCAGATTTCACTCGTTAGTATGTAAACTGCATGCTGACCGTGATCTACAGCCAAAATGTTCATATTCGGGCAGGTATCATTTAATAACGTCTCCAGATATCTACATTTTTCACTTTCATCTGTTCAAATGATCTCCCTTACTGACATGGTGCTTCACCTACTTGCAAAGAACATTTCTACCGTTAAAGTATCATTTTAGTACGCACAGTGTAGTGTTTTGAATGTTGTGACTTAATGTTTCCCCATCCAAATAAATTCCCACATTTTTACCCATTATGAAGGGATTATCCAAAGAATACGATACCGTTACTGAATTCCACTGTTCGCCTCTCAGGTGGCACTTTCAGTATGGTTTGAATCACCTATATTAAGTACGGTATGCAATGGCTTCACACTGCATTCACCATGTTCGATGAACGCTTTGTATACCATTATGTTCTTCATTATTTTGTTGCGAAGGGTACATTCAAGACAGGGGAAAATTTGCCGTGACATGAAGTCGTCTCCATCATACGAAGGCGCTGAACTACAGCAAAAACAGTAACTATGTACACAATCCGTATGTGTCCTAGAATCCTGTAATATTTCGCTAAGCAATATATTCTTTCGGTCTAGCCACTTGAATTGATGCGTCTGCGGCATGTGATCTGCCCCGATCCCTAGCTGCTTCGGTCAAAAGTCTTCATCTCGAAATTCGATACGTGTGTAAAATAGTTAAAATTAGGCTGTCTAGAGTAAAAGGTATAGTCTCTTTTGCCCTAAGGAAAAAGGTGGGTTGTCTCTCGATGATACTGTCAGGGCCCATTCCTTCCACTCATCAGGTGCGCAACCCTCCTGAGCATAAATTTGACTTCTCGCATATTGGTCGTTTGCCCGAGCCAATGTTGGCTATGATTATCAAAACCTGGTGATCAAGCGGAAACAAGAACTTCTCAAGAACTTGAGAATCCGGGAATATAACCAATAACCAATAATTAGCAAATGATGCCAAGGTAAAAAAAAACATAAATTACATAGGCAGTCCATACGTACATTGCATTTAAACATTCCCATCCCATCGCAACCCAATTCCTTCATTTGCGTGTAAATTAAAACGCCAAGTCAATCCTTTAGGATTGATTACTGACCTACATTATGCAAACGTAAAAAAGGCAAACTCTTTAGCGCATCCTAAATGATATCTAAGGTGCCCATAGCTCTAAAATGACAAGTGGCAAGTATCACAACCCTCACATGCCATGGGGTTCACATTTTCGACCATCCAAACTCCATAATCATCGGCGGCTAACCAGAGCGTTTAAGTACCCTCAGCAGATCTCCAAACACCCTGGGTCCTGTACCTACAAATGACAGAGGTTTATTTACATGCACATAAGGCATCACTTTCCAGGGTGTAACCCTCAAACCGCTGTGCACCGATGTAATAAATTGCATGAGGTGCTATGTTCTCACAAAATGCATCAGACACTCTTGAGGTTACATTGACATTCTAATGAGCTCGTAATTCACCTGTTGGCAAAAAGTTCTGTACAAAATTATCCATGTCTAAGCACACTGGATTGAACCAACCCCTAGTGCCCCACAGGCATCAAACTTAAGATTGAGCAATTTTTGTAGCGGAGTTCCCATGCAGTTTGAATTGTCCATCCTCCTCCTGTACCGACGATCCAAACATTTGGAGAGTAGTGATACGAGTGGACGACTTAGTCGAGCAGAAGATGAACTTAAGAGCCCTGGAAGAACGTAAAAATATTGACGGAATCTTCTAGGGGCGCACTCTCTTACATTGCTTCAATGACTCATATGTCGTATACTTACTAGCGCAAACTAAAAATGATGTTAGTGATTGCAATGTGGCCAATGTTCCTAGTGAGTTTACTTCTTGGCGGCTTGCTTAGCTTTGTTATATCACCATCCTTTCCCGGTGGCCAGAATTCACGTAACAAGACCCAAATAGTCAGAAAAAACATCAGGCCTTAAGCTATTCACCCCATAACGCGAAGACCATTCACTTGTTCCTTCAAAAGCTAAATATCCACGACCCATTTCTTCGAACACCAGCAGCTGAGAGAAACGAATCAGGTATTCGAGGTGAATACAGAGTAGTCAGATAACTCACTTCGACTTTCTGTAACTTGTCTTGTATGACTTCAGAAAGTGATGTAGGTCGCACCTCGACATAAAATCTAGAGGCAGGCGCGTATCATATAACAAAGTAGCCTGACAATATATTGAGCTACCACTTGTGCACAAACAACTGGATTTTCTAAAACCGTAGTTCTTAATGGACCTCTATAGAACGCACATTTGACCTCACAATAAAGCCTACATTATAACCGCTTCATCATTCCCTAAAATGGACATTAGGCTCTTAAAGCAGGCGCGTAGAGAGCATAACAGCTGGTAGCAAGCCCTAGTTCCTTCCACATGTATCTGCAACTAGCGCAAAACAGTGACATGCTAATCACACCTAAGATTACTAGTTGCCAGAGAAGCCTAGAAAGTTGATGTCACTATCAGTGTTTATGGAATCCCTCATCAGCAACATATGTAATACAGCCCATGTAAAGTCCGGTACATAAGTAATTTTCTAGCTTTTTCGATTATAGCCTTTATACCACCAGTGAATAATCATGCATCCACATACGGACTAAACTGAGATATAGCCTGTAAGTGTTGATTGTACTCAAGGTAGACCTCAACTAACGTCACTTACTAAAGGTTTCTTTTAATACCCTGCCTAGCGAGTAAGTACTGATTAACGAACTCAAAGTAAAAAGGCTTGAGACTGAGTAGTGTGTCCTGATGAGAGTTGTATTTTACACAGATTAAATATCAACTTTAATAAATAGGAATAATGTACAGCTTATCGGCTGCTCGGCTGGATAGTAAGCTCTAAGAGTGCGCTTAATGTTAACGCAGCAAGGGAGCGAACCATGTGTGTACAGTCGCGCCGGAAAATAACAAGATGACGTGGTGCTGTAGTGAACGAGTGAGTGAAAACAAAAATTCAAACATTCAAGGTTCACTGCAGGTTATCTACCCCTTAGAGGGTTAGTGGGATACCGGCAACCTCCAATGCACGAAAGTAGTGAGTTGAGGGTAATGGCATGTAAATTACATTCGATGAACAAGGAAGGCTGGAGAGAGTTATAAAGAATTATGGAAGGAGAGAAAGAGGCTAAAGTAAATTAAAAGCACCGTGTGCGTGGTTAAGGCAGGAAGGCAAAATATAAGAAGAAATGTCCCTAGTGCCCAAGCGCGAACACAGGGTTCTAGGTTGTTGTTCTTTTTTAATTTTCGTACCTTATTTTTATGTATTTATTTTTTTACTCCGTACTAATACGGGTTTACATGTATGGGGAGCTGGTGGTATCCACCCGTTGCCCTGGCTGATATAGCGGAAAAGTGACTCAATATCTCTAAGTTTTTTTTGATTTACAGCTTGATTCCACACTGTATTTTTGGTACAAGTATGGAATTTTCGGCATGGATATCGGTAGCCCAAATTTTGCAGGCCGACCATAGATATCAGTTGTGCGTCGGCGGGGGCTCGAACCTCAAACCATGTGCACGGTCGGCGAGAGTCCTAACCACTGTGCCACCGACGCACAAGTTAGTCGTGTGATTACATTTGATATGATTATGAACAATAAAATTTGTTCGAAACGTCATCCAGTAAATAATACTGTATAATGTATCTAATAAACAAACTAATATCGAATCTCTAAGTTTCGTCCTATACCAGTGCTCTACTCCTCCGTTTCAACAGCAACTACCAGTCAATACTAAGGATAACAAATATACCAGAGTATTAGAAAGAACAAGGTAAAAGAGAAAGAAAAGAAGAATAAGTGAAGATGTCAAGATTTCAAATTCGGCATGAAAGTACTATAAAAGCTTGGACCAAATAAAAGCAACGAAACATGGTGAAACATGACAGTAATGTGCCAGGATGAAAAAAACAAAGGCTTTCGTTAATAGTTCGGAAATTAATGAAATTTACAGAGCAAAGGGTGAAGATAACCAGTAGTGATGAGTGGTTACAATTAGTGAAGGAAAATGTGGCGATCTGATTAACTAAAGTGGTGAAAAATGGTTACGCGTACGGCTCACAAAATAAATAAGTTTCAGCAGGGCATAACAC